AAGTCTGCTGTGCCGATGGACTATGCAGAGAAGTCCACTTCCCCTTTGCCCTTCAGTGAAGCGTTGTACAGTATTATGGCCCTAGGTACAAATGACTTCCTGAGTCTGTCTGTTGAGCATTTCAGTCTCTCTCTTGTGCTGACAGCAGCACAGATCAAACCCGGGTCTCTCAGCTGAGAGGGAAATAGAGGTCTCCACACCGGGAGCCTCCACTGACTCGTCCCCCAGCAGAGCGCGGCCCACTCCGAAACCTATTTAGGCTTTCTGGGAACAGCTCTGAAGTCCTGCCAGTCTAAACATAAGACGGCCAGGCCGTGTGGGAGAGAAACAGCTGCTTTTCGCATTTCGCCCTGTCTTTCACACAGCGGGGCCATGTTTCACACCCCCGGGGAGATCCGCCATGTGTCACAGCTGGACCACAACAGCCCCGGCCCGTCGCCATAAAGGCTGGAAAAAAAAACTCCAAACATGAGTTTAAAATGACTTACGTCCAAATTTTGAGGTTGGACTGTGATGCATTTGTTTAACTGTGCGGGTTACTTCATCAAACTGCGTTTCAGGATGTGGTCGTAAATTAAAAAGATTGGCTTCGTCTTGTTTTTATTATTCTGGTACTCGGTTCCATAACTCCCAAATTAGCGTGACATCATTTGTCAAAGTTGAACGCGACCTGGTTTGTGACCTTACTCTGGATTTTGGGGCTGTATGGATCCTCAATCCTGATGGCCGGGTCCAGCACTCTGTAGATGACCTGGTTAAGGAAACAAACGGCGTCCACATTTAATGGCTGTTCCACAATGTGCACAGAAACACCATCAGATACATGAGAGATTGTGTAATAGTTCAGTGGAATATTTATGGAAATGGTTGTGAACTGTCAGTGTTAATGAAAATATGAGGTTATAATAAATACACCAAAAAGCTTAAAAAACACTCTCAGACAGCTACAGTTTCCTCATAAGTTGCCTTTTGACAGACAAATCTTTTTTTTTCTTTCTTTCTTTCTTTCTTTCTTTCTTTCTTTCTTTCTTTCTTTCTTTCTTGTCTTGTTCTTTTTTAATTTAATTAAATGTATTAAATTTATTTTTTCATTTTTTATTTCTTTTTTAAATTTTTATTTTTTAAATCAATCAAATTAATTGTATTTCATTTCTCCAATTTTTATATTTTAATGTAATTTATTTTGTTTTATTTTTATATTTTTTTTAATTTTCTTTAATTTTTTTAATTTATTTCTGACCGAGTCAGAACATTTTTACTCAGTTCTCTCTCCATCATTCGTCTCAAAAAGATGCTCCGTTTTAAACCCCCCCCCCCCCTCACCTCTCCTTCTGTCGACGGCTCGATGTCTGAGTAGCGCGACTCGCAGATGACATCATCGATGTCCCTCAGAGGGCCCGGCGAGACTCCGGGAAAGGAGCCTGCACAGTCGTGGGCGAAGTATCGATACACCTGCCAGGTGCGTCCGAAATCTGCTGACCGCTCGATCAGCATCCCGGCCGGACGGAAAGTCTGAGGGAGGAGGGGATCCTTTTAGTCTGTGGCCCGGATCGTTTTGTTTGGAGAAAATCGAGTCCATTTTACCTTGAACGTCATAATTAGATGAGTAAAATGGAACTCAGCTTCCAGATCCAGCTGAATAAAGACTTCTGCCTTTCCTGGGGTGGGGGAGACAGACACAGATGAAAGTTAACAAGCAAGACCAGGTTTAACCCTTTAAAACCTGATCCAAGAATGTTAAAAAAAACTGAAAATGACTTTTTTTGGGGTCTGAAGTCTTAACAAAATATGTAAAAAGAAAAAACAGAAATACATTTTTTATATTAATAATTTCAAGTCAAGATTATTTTTTGTGTAGTTTTCTTCCCCCTGTTATCGGGTGTATCTGATATCCGCCCACCCTGAGCCATGGTTCTGCTCCAGGTTTCTGCCTGTTAAAAGGAAGTTTTTCCTTGCCTGTGTCGCCTAGTGCTTGCTCATGGTGGGAACTGTTGGGTTTCTGTAATTAACTTCAGAGTAGGGTCTGACCTGCTCTGTTTGGAAAGCGCTGTGAGACAACTGTTGTTGTGATGTGGCGCTATATAAATAAAATTGAATTGAATTTAATGGAATTGTGTACAATAGGATTTTGAGCAAAGTTTTTACCATTAAATCATGCAAAAGAAGTCAAATGCAAAACATTTCAGAAACCGTATGAATCAAATATGATACATTTGGCATTACAGGGTTAATCATAACAGGAATGATGGATAAATCTAAAGCTGGGGCACAGGGAGCATTCCCGGTGGGGCCGCACATAAAGTGGCGGGGCTTTAAGTGAAGTAGCAACTGTGCTTTTGGCTGGAGGGAAACAAAGAGCCCACGCATTTCCTGAGCTCTTCATTCTGGAGGGCCACTCTACCCGTTGTGTGTTTTCTGAGCCCGAGAGGAGTTTCCTGTCCACGCATACCTGCCCACAGAGGCTAACCCAGGAAACGGAGAGATGCCCGTCCAATCAGGAACCCTCCAGATAAAGTCTGATGTACAGACTGTGTTTTATCAGGAGTCCCATCAAAAGTGGAAAGCAGGGGTGAATTGTCAGGGAAATCCCACGTGAGGCAAGATATCCAGCTTCTGTTTTCAGGAGTAACAAATCATTTTTTAAGAACAACTGACTCATGTGTAGAGTGGGAGAAATCTGTGAAGATTAACTGGTCCCTTCAGAGCTGTTGAACACTTGTGGACGGACTGCTTCCTGCTCTTATTAACCCCACATTTTAGAGAGAGTGGGGGAGCAGCTCACTGGTGAAAACTACCATTTTCAGGCTAAAAAAAAGTGTACAAATCAAAATAAATAAAAAACTAAGAAGCAATCTAACAGACCCAGACAACAGGAACTAGGTCAGCTTCCAACTAGAAAGTTAAATGTTGTTGTATTAGTTTCCAACAGCTTTGTAGGATTGAGAAAGCTGGACTTTTTTACCCTTAACCCTGTAATGCCAAATGTATCATATTTGATATGTACGGTTTCTGAAATGTTTTGCGTCTGACACCTTTTGCATAATTTAATGGTAAAAACTTTGCTCAAAGTCCTATTGTACACAATCAGATACACCTGATAACAGGGGGCAGAAGACTACACGAAAAATAATCATGACTTATCACATAGTAATAAATTATTAATAATAAAAATGTATTTCTGTTTTTTCTTTTTACATATTTTGTTAAAAGGCCAAATAAAGACTTCAAACAAAAAAAAAGTAATTTTCTGTTTTGTTTTGTTCTTGGATCAGGCTTTAAAGCGTTAAAAGTAGCCTAAATATTCATAAACTTCTGCCTTAAATCAATATTGGATACATTTCTGATAAGAATCAGTGGCTTTGATTCACAATCATCCCCATTATGCTTTAAGAAGGCACATTTTTAAGTAGATTTTCTCCTCAACAAGTGACTCAGAGGACAAAAGTTGGAGTTTAATGGTTGGACGGTGATACAAACTAAAACCTGGAGTTGTTCAACAGTCTTAGTTTAGGTTAGGAATTTGTATTGAATGCAATAGATTTGAGTTATTCATCCAAAAAAGCCAAATGAAAAAATAATAACCAAAAAAGAGCTAATCAAAAATATAGGAAGGGCCATTACATGGAGCTGATCACTGAGCCAGAGAGGATGAAAAAGGGAGGAGGAAGACACGGAAAATTAGAGCCGTTTGCAAAGCTGATTTCCAGCAACTGTTTTTTAGATTTTAAGCTTTTTCGAACACAAAAAAAATAAAAAATCCACATTATCCTTTGACAGAGACCTCACCTGACCCCCGGCTCATCTGAGGCTCAGTTTTGTCCCTTTAAATAAAACCCCGCACACTGACTTTTTGGTTAATGAGTGAACACAATCCCGGCAGTGTGGTTCCTGTCAAACGGCCCCACTGTGCCCCACACAGACGCCACCCTGATGCAATGGAAAGGCGGCAGTAAAAATAGTCACTGTGCTTCCTGTGCCCCCTCGCCTTCTTCTGTTTCCCCCCGGGTTTCTATTCTCAGTCTGCAGCCGGACCCCGGGACCACGTCCCCGCTCGCAAACAAGAAACAACCAAGTTAAACCCGGTTAATGCACAATCTTCTTGCATTTTCTTACATTTCTTTAACTCTGCAATGGTAACATCCAATCACAACACTGCTCAGGTTTAAATGGAATACATGGCTTCTGAATTATCTACAGAGTAATGAGAACAGAGACAACCGTTCAAACAAGCGTTTCAGATCATAATCGGTGGAGAAAATTAAGTTGGATGCAATATTTTTTTAGCAGTTTGAGACATAATGGGATTAAAGCTGCATCGAAGCAACGGTCATCTCTCTTGGTCCTTAATCTAGAGTGTGGATGTGAAGGACATTGACCAACTAAACTTTTGGTTTAGTTTTCGAAAACATAATTTACAAAAAAGAAAATCCTACTTAAAACTTCTTCATTAGTGAAATACAGCGGTGGAAACGCGCCTCCCTCTCCTCCCAGTTTTATCTTTCCATCGGAGTTTTGGCTTTCCTTGGTCTCCTTCCCCTCTGATTAGCCTCCTCTGTTATTAGGCCCACTTCTTTTACGCTTCTGGTTGCTATAAACTCTTTTTCCACTTCTCCCTTCTTGCACAGAGACTGATTTTCGATTTTAGGAAACCTGCTTCCCCCCCAATTTCTTTTCTCAGTATAATTAAAATCTAATAAATATGATTTTTCATTTCAATTTTCCTACTTTTGTTATCCAATTCGCCACCCGTCGCAACTCAATAAATCTCAAATAGTTTATATTAGCAAGACCGAAACTGGAGAACAAGTTTCTTGAAGTAAATGGTCAGAATAAATGATCAAATATGTAACAAAGACAAAGAACAGTTTCACATAGGGGGGTGCTGTTAGATTGGAGTTATTTGGCCTTAAAAAGTTGCAAAGTGTATCGCCGGCCACATAAATGTCTGCACATATTTCATAACAAAGTCTGAGGACTAGTATCATCAATATTTTTCACTTCAAGGAATAAATAAGCCAACTTTGTGGTCATATTGAATCATATTCAAGGTGTGAGTTTTCTCTATTCAACATAGATTAGAATGTGGTGTGCAGATGTTTTTTTTTTTACTTTAAAAACTAGCATGTCAACTTTACCATGAAAATAGATCCAATCTTTTACATTACAGCAAATTATGTCTTATTTCTAAAATCTGTCTGTCCAGTAAAGTACTCTCAAATGTGAGTTATATTTCAGTGTAGTTTGTGGGAAAAATCTCTATTAGGACTTTTAAAATGATAGTTGTATTGTTTCTGTCATGAGTTGTGTTTGGGGTTTTTTTTTCCGGTTTGTGTTCTGTTCTGTCCAGTTTTCAGTTTTTCTCGTAGTTTTGTTCTCTGGTTGTTTTTCTTAGCCCGGAAGTATTTTTCTTGATCTTTTTCTCTTGTTTTTAAGCTCACCTCTTGCTTTGTCCCCGTTTTTTTTTTTTGTCTCTCCCTCGTCTCCATCGTTCCTGGCTCCGCATTTAGTTTTTTATTTCTCTTTAACATCAGTTCAGTTCAGGTTTTTCCTGCCTATCTTGGATTTTTGGTCTCACTGGGGCATTCAGCTCTTCAGACTTCAGGAAACTCTATAATCTGTCCCCTTTATTGTGGGTTTTTTGTGTGTGGAGCTGTTTGGCCTTCTCACCGTTCTCCGACTGCCACCAGGACTTCTTCCGGTGGGGTTTGAAGGTGGTGATGACGTTCTCTATGCGGTGATTGATGGTGTTGTAGACCTCGTCGTAAGGCCTGGAGTCACACTCGAAGCATTTCTTCTCCTCCTACGGCAGGACAGGGGAAAGCCACACATCGAAAAGACGGCAGAATCTGAAGCAAAAAGCCGAAATCCTGCGGGAAAATCGTCCCAAACGGGCTGGAAACGAGAACAGAGCCTCACCTGCAAATGGCTGACGATGCAATAGCGCTCTTTTCTTCTCGTCCCGCACGTGGACGAGGCCTTCAGGTTCTTCTCCCGGCCCACCAGCAGGTTCCCGGTTGCCGGGTAACAGCTGCCGTGGGCGCAGCCGTGGCTGAAGTCCGGCCTCTGGGCAGCGGCTACGGCCAGAGCTGGAAAGGAGGGGGGCAGGACGTGGGTTAATCAGCCTCTTTTCTTCCTGACCTAAATGTCGACACAACAAAGCTCTTATCACTTCCTTTCGGAAAAAAGGAATCCAGGTTGGGAAGCAAACCAGCTGCTCCTACAGGAAAACTATCAGAGAATATGGGTCACATAGCATGCAAAAGGGCCATCAGAAAGAGTTAGAATAAAACAAAAATCGATATTTTATGTGATAATCAAGGAGAAAAACGTGTTCTCTTCTTCTGAGGAGAGTCTCCATGACTTCTTTAAAAAAACTGCTCCATCAAGAGCTGATTCAGTGTTGACACAACATCCGTCATTAGGGGGATTATACGAGTTTAAGGGCTCTGTTGTAGGCAGGGGTCCTAATATGAGACCCCATTTATGGATTAAGTGTAGAAAATGAGCTAATGCGGGTCTTGCGAGGGCAGTTTAGGAGCACAGATGCTTAATGTGGTCACTGAATCCCGCAAACTTTGATGTGACAGCAGCTATTTTAAAGGATTAACGCTAACGTCGAACCTGGGCTGAGTCCGCCTGAGCTCTGGAGCCGGGGAGTGACTCAACAGTCGGGCTATGCGGAGGAGCTAAAATAAACCTCCTAAACTTTTACGATAACCAGCGGCAGGCGGCAGACAACCAGCCGGACGTGCACGTGAATCCCCTCCCACGGTCTGTGTTGCTATGAGGAAGCCGGTTTGAGAAGTTGCCGTGCACAACAGGTGTTAATCTTCTCTTCCACACTCGGTCTCCCAGATTACTCCCACACCGTGGATCAAACTTGACAATTAACTGGACTCGAATCCTCCAAAAAGAAAGCAGAGATGATGCAGCCCGGGGCTTTAGTCTGCTTCATATTTCCCCAACTTTCAAAATGGGCCCATCCAGACACCAGAACTGTCAAAAGTAATCTGTTAAGACACAGAAGGAACCTTTTCTATGATCAGAAAATGTTTCTGTGTGATGTATCCCCTGTTACTGGTTTAGATTATTACCATGCATCCTATACATTGGGGGAAATAAGTATTTTACCCCTTGCTGATTTTGCAGGTTTGCCCACTTACAAAGAATGCAACGATCTATAACTTTAATCATATGTACATTCTAACAGTGAAAGACAGAATCCCAAAGAAAATTCCAGAAAATCACATCATGTGAATTCATAAAAATTGATAACCATCTGATGAGGAAAAATAGGCATTCTTTGTAAGTGGGCAAACCTGCAAAATCAGCAAGGGGTCAAATACTTATTTCCCCCACTGTATCAGCCACTTACGGTGGTTGTGGTGTAAGTTTCTGGCTCATGTTGCACTACTCTGGTCGGCCAACTGTACTAAAAGTACACAAGTAAGCATCTGATTGGTGGTTCTCCAGGAAGTAGGATTTTCTGTCCTGAATGAGGCTTTTTTAACTGGTTTTTATGCACTCGAAATGTCCATTTAGCACAACGCGGAATAATCAGTTGGCTATAAATCTGACCAAGCTTTACTCTTTTTTCTTTTTTGGCCTCTGATCTCACAGACCAGAGTGTGTTTCTGCTGGATGCCTGGAGCTCCGACAGCTGCCGGAAAACTGAAAGAGAAGAAGGAGCTTTGTTCCACGATCCCACATCCTTTGATTTTCTGCTGTCAAGACACGCGTGTATTATTTTACTATCATGTTTGAGCATATAAACTCTGAAGCACTCTCCTCAATCACTTATATCCAGTTATAGCTCAACAAGCAGCCGCTTTTACAACGTTTACGGTGAATCTGACCTCAGCTTTTGTTCAATTACAAACTGTTCCGGGGTATACCGACTTAACAGTACACATAAAATGTGTGCAGTTTCTGTCGGTGTGGTCTACGGCGGGGCTCCTTAACCCTGGTCCTCAGGGCCTAAATAGCCCCAGGACACCCGACCCAGATGAATGGGTCATCATTTTTATTTTTATTTATTTATTTATTTAATCAGGACAGTGCACATTAATGAACAATCTCATACAGATTGTAAATGAGCCAGATTATAGCATAGTTGCTAGCTTACATCTGTCGTCCTGAGGCAGGAAGACCAAACAACACAAAATCATAAAATACAAAATCAGTCCAAACACACGTTCAGACAATGACATTACAAAATTAAAATTAGTTAAACTTAGTAATTATTAAATGTAGTAATTAAATTAGTAATTAATCATCATCTGTCTGTAGGGCTGAAAGTCGGATCCATCCGTCTGGAGCTGGAAAATGTGCCCGACCTGTGGGCCATCTGGACCAAGGCTAAGAAATGTTGGTCTACAGACCGGAGACGTGAGCAGAAGCTGGTTTCATGGTGCTTTTTTTTGTTTTTGGTCGCTTAGATCTTTATTGATTCTACATAAGAAAAGTAATGACCTCAATGAGCTGCCCAAAAAACCTACTATTAGGTATTTCCCTGATAATCTTATCTAGGTTTTGTACTACGAAGTCTTTCACACAAACAAGACAGACCCATCATGTATTAGATTTCTATTCTATTAGATTTCTCCCACAGGCTGACTGGATTTTAAAGAATCATTTTGGTATCAGCTGCAGAAAAGCCTCACAAGGCGGATTATTGCGGCTTTCCTAAGTAACTTACACAGCTCGTGGGATTTAAACACTTTTTATTCTTCAACAAAGGCTCCAACACAGGGTGAAACTATTCAGCTAACAAGTTGTCATTCCTCAAAATACCACAAGTGTCACGTCTGGGGGAATGTCTGGTGTCTGGTCATGTTGATTACCTATTGTGTTCACCTGGGGTTCCCCTCCCTCATGTGTTTAAATAGTCCTCGTTTCCCATGTCCTGTGCCACTTCAATTGTGTCTTTCGTCTCTCGTCTTTCGTCTCCCCACTTCATGTAAGGTTTTGATTATTTCCCATAGCCATGTTTTGCCACAGCCTTGCCACAGTTTTCTTAATCTTTATTTTGTTACTTTGCCATAGCCTTGTTTGACCACTGCCATGTTAATCTCGTTTGTGCTTTTGCCACAGCCTTGTTTTGATACTTTGCCACAGTTTTGTTAACCTCGCCTTGTTACTTTGCTCATAGTTTTGCCACAGCCCTGTTTTTGTTACAATAAACCCTGTTTTCTGCATCTCCGCGCCTGAGTCCTCCATCAAGATCCACCTCCCTGACAACAAGGTTTTCTCTGTGGTCCAAAAAGTGCTCGATAAAGACCTTTTTTTCCAGCTCTGGCCCCCCACAGGAGACGCGGGCCCAGCTGGAGATACCGGGCCTGCTGGGAACGGGGGGGCGGGGGCTTTCACACGGACACTCCACTGGGCCCAGTGTTTGCCTGGCATCTGGACAAGTCTCAGGCCGGTGCGGATCTGGACACCTGCACATCTGGACGAGGCCCACGCCCACTCAGTCATTTTGACAGCCCCCCGAATGCCACCCAATGGTGTTTTTTTCGGTTCACGATAAGCTAACGACCAGAGGGACTATCACCAGTCGAGATAAGAGGAAACCAAAGGTGATAAGTGCTTTGTTCTGAGCTCGTTTTCTCCCCCTTTGCCTGACGGTTGGACAGAGACCCAGACGCAGAGCAGATCCCCCCCCACAGACGGAGGGGAGATCCACCCAGACACAACATGATATCAGGTCTCCAAACGGCCGAAACGTGTGAGGGAGGAGACGCACAGCAGACATCTGAAGGGTCCCATAATCACCGGGTTTATAGTCGTCTTTCATCTGCCTGCTTTTCTTCTTTTAAAAAACAAAATTCACCGGCTTCACATCTCTGATCACAACATGAAAAAAAACACAACAAAAAGTGTTATGTTGTTCGAAATATAACAGGCCGGCCTAATCCAGACCAGCCTCTCCAGCTAATATCGACATATCAGTGCGGAATCTCAGATTAGAATTAATTTACATCACTATTAGTAGCTAATAACCATCTATAGCAGAGTGGAAGAATAGGGTAAAACAAGTGTATATGATGGAAAAAATGACCGCATGTTTACAACTCAAAGTGAACAAGTTCAATCAAAGATGGCGTTTGGTGAAATTATATTTGGGTTTATGATTTTGGGCTGTAGTGATTCTAATGAATTGCAATCTGTTCCGTCATCGGTATTCTTATGGTATGTATTGTTATATGTGTATATACATGTATATATATATATATTTATTTACATACATTTATTTTGAAATATTGTATATGTGGCATCAGTATTTCTGTTATTGATTTTATTGCTCTTGGCTCAGGGAATGTTCTTTTGTTGTGAAAATTCTCAGAAATAAAAAGTCCCCCCCCCCCCCCAAAAAAGAATTAATTTACATCTATATCCTCTCTTATTTGTTGGTTGAGCAGTGGGGCTGCACAGCACTATGGCAGTCAGCACCCACAGCAACAGGGTTGCTGGTTCAAATCCCTCCTGTGGGCACGCAGCTGGGGCAGGTTTCAGTCCACCCTGCTACTCATAAGCGGAACGGGTCCAGGCCTTTTTCAGGGCCGCATTAAATCACCAAAAACGATGTTTCTAGACTCGCTAAGGGCTCCTTTCATTGTTCTTCTCCTTGTTCTTAATTCTGTAGCCATCAACGGAGAGCCAAGAAGGAATGTGTGCTGACAGATGAGGGAATAGGGGGAGGTGTGTGTGTGTGTGTTTGTGTGTCTTATAATAGATTTAAATGCTTATATGATGATGCACAACAGCATCTGCGTGTTCCAGCAACTTTGTGCTTCACAGATGGAGATCTGAGCAACAGAAGGCTTAAGGTCTTAATAAGTCACACATACTGGAAAAGATAGTGTGTTTTTCTGGGCATGACAATTCACCTAGACATGAAATAACTGTGTGAAAGGTTATAGTCCTCATAAGTTATATAAACCAGATCATGTCCCTATATGTCGCATAAATATCAAATGTGATCAAAATGTTGAACTAGCTAAAATCTCAATAGATGAATGCTTTCCTGAATGCTTGGATAGGAAACTCTGGGATTTTCAGACCTGTAAAAGGCATGTCCCCATTT